AGAACAGCACACATTTTTAAAAATTCTGTTCTTAAACATAAAGTTCCTGTTGGCTCTTCTTTGTCAAAGAGCTTTACATTACAACCTTTGTGAATACAAAAAGTAAAGTCAATTCCACTACAATCACATGTATTTGAGGTCTCCATACAACTCAATTCCTGGAAAGAACATTGTGGGACCACACTTGGAATCTACATCATAAAAATATCTACTTGTTTAGAACATCAAGAAAGACAAAAGAGGCAAGGTAAAATTTCAAATTTTCTTGACCTTGAGATTTACTTGAGTTTTATTTTTGCACTTCTAATTTAATTTAAAGAAACAAGGCACTAATTACCTTGAACTACTTTTGTCATGAAACACTTTTTGGCTTATCCTTGAGCAGGGCAAGAGTCAGCTTCTGCAGTGAAAATATTCAGGTTTTGTTTTCAGAAAGCAAAATAACTAAGCTTCCATAAAGCTACAGTAACATCTTCTTAGTTCATTTTGCCAAAGACAACAAGAACAGAATAAGTTTTCTTACAATTCATACTTTTCCCTACTAATATTTATTTTAATCATAATTAAAGCCAGAAGTGCAGTGTTTTATATTTTCAGTTCCTTGTAATTTCTTAGAGAACACAAGCTTTGAGGCACAATTAGATTTTCCATGCAAGTTCATGGATTCCACCCAGAAGCAGGAGATGCTTGATTCCTCAGAGGAAGGCAACATTTCCCACCATCCACCAAACTGACCACACTGTGTTGGACATGAGGGGAAAAACGGTATTTTCTTAGTCTATTCAGATAAAAATCTACCACCTGAAACATGAAATTCAGTTTATCTGAACACATTTCATAGAATCAGAGAATGACCCGGTTTGGAAGATACTTTACAGTCACCCAGTCCAACCATCAACCCAGCACCACCACCGTAACCCCTAAACCATCACCCAGCACCAGGTGCAGATGCCTCTGAAACAGGGATGGTGACTCCATTACCCCAGTACTGGGAAACCCACTCTGATGCCTGCCCACCCTAGCAGTAAAAACATTTTTCAATTATCTAATCTGAATTTGCCCTGCCTCAGCTTAAGAACACTTCCACGTGTTCTCTCACTGCAGAGACCAGCCCCCACCTCACCCCAATCTCTTTTCAGGCAGCTGTGAAGAGCAATGAGGCCCCTCCTGAGACTGCTTGGGACTAACCAAAGCCAGCTCCCTCAGCCACTCCTCACAAGACACATTCTGCAGTCCTTTCATGGGCCCTGTTGCCCTTCACTGGACACTCTCCAGTATCTCCACGTCCTTCTTCCAAGTGAGGAGCCCAGAAATGAACACAGCACTCAAGGTGTGGCCTCACCAGTCCCTGGCCCTGCAGGAACCACTATTCCTGATCCAGGCCAGGATGCCCTTGACCTTCCTGGCCACCTGGGCACACGCTGGCTCGTGGTCAGCTGCTGCCAACCAGCACCCCAAGGGCCTTTTCTGCTGGGCCACTTTCCAGCCACTCTGCCCCCAGCCTGCAGCACTGCATGGGGCTGCTGTATCCCGAGTGCAGGACCAGCACTTGGCCATGCTGAACCTCGTGCCCCTGGTCTGGCCCATCCATCCAGCCTGTCCAGGTTCCTCCACAGGGCCTTCCTGCCCTCCAGCAGATCAAAGTCTGACCCAGCTCCCCATGGTCTTTGAATTTGCTAATGGTAGCTCAATGCCCTCATCCAGACCATCAGTAAGGACGTTACACAAGACCAGGCCCAACACTGATCCCTGGGGACACCTCTAGTGAGCGGACACCCGCTGGACGCAGCAGCACAATTCACCAGCACTCCCTGGGCCTGGCCATGCAGACAGCTCCCAGCCCAGGGAAGAGTGCACTTCTCCAAGCTGTGGGCTGCCAGCTTTTCTGCATTCTTTTGCTGAAAGGGTTGTCAAGCACTGGAACAGGCTATCCAGGGAGGTGGCAGAGTCACCATCCCTGGCAGGGCTCAAGACACTAATGGACATGGCACTTGGTGCTATGGTTAACCAAATATGGGGGTGCTCAGTCAAAGGTTGGACCCAACAATCTTGGAAGTCTTTTCCAAACTTAATGATTCTGTGATTCAAAGATATAACACAAAACTCTTCCAAAACTGCAAGGGGAGAAAAGAGATGGACAGCTGTGTTGGTGAGGCAGACCAAATAATGTTCAGAGACATGGACATACCACTTCCCAAGCACAGAGGCAAATCACTATTCTGCTACATGGCTTTTACCAATTTGCTTTTATAAACTTATTTTCAGTGAGTCAACTTCACAAACATGCTGTTCAAGCAGCATGTTCAACGTTTTGAGAAGCTTACAATAAAAGATCATTAGAAGACAGTAAGAATTTCAGCTTAGAAAAACAAGAATTCAAAATAACGTTAATAATCTATTTAGAAGTAGAAAGATTTCAGATGTCACAGGTGCTATGAATAAAAGAGAAGATATTCATGACAACTTCTTTCTTCTACAGCAGCAGAAAATCTTTTTTGGAGAGAAAAACAAGACAGAAGAGGCATCTTTTCTTTTTTTTTTTCTTTTAGAAACACCCATTTTGATAATAGTTATCTACAAGACACAAGTAGAAATTCACTCTGCAATTTTCCTGCCCTATGCTTGAAATTAAACGCAGAGAAGAAAAAGAAACTAAATCAAAAGCAAGCAATCTAAAAGAAGAATCACTGAAAACATATGTAGATCATCAGAGGAGAAAGAATTCTGGCAGCTGTCAACGCTATGCACAAAAAAAAAATTCTTAAGAGTAGCTGGCTTCTCTTAAGAGTTAGTGAACTATCAAAATGTAACAGTAATATTCATGAAATTTTTGTATACAGATACATATTTGCACACAGAGCTACTACAAAGTTGACAAAATAAGGACAGGGGGTGGAAATACAACATTTCCTAGCACAGTTCCACAGCCACCTGTGGGAAGTCAAAGTCACAGCCAGTTCACTTCTCTTTGCACACCTGCTTAGCATTCCTTTCTTTTTAAACCTGAGTAATTTTTTAACCTATTAGAAGACTTCAACCTGAATTTCAAAGATAAAAGTTCAATCTGACAATTGTCATTTGGCCCTAACTTAAATAATTTTAAATGAAGAATACAACAACAGTCATTCTGAGTCTGAAAAATGGTCTGCTTGGCCTAGAATAATTTCTCCTTATAATTTCTCCTGTTTAGGGCAGTGGCCATGAACTGACACCTAGGGGACACAAATCATAGTCTTGTTAAAATGCCTCCACAAAAGTAACAGGAATATTTCTCTCCATTTTTCTGGTAGCTGCAAAACAGGTCAGGCCCTCCAACAGACACCAGCATTATGTTAGTTCACTTCTGTCAGGAAACCAGTTGTTCTTGTTCCTGCTTTTACCGGAAGAAGCACTACATTCTTAAATAAAAATCCGGGAGAAATTGAAGGACTGTGAGCAGAAATCATCACAAGAAGTACATGTGAACCCTTAGGAAGAAGCAGAAGTAAAGTCAGTGAAGACATGAACTTCAGCTTCTGGAAGACTGAAGCTGATTTAACCAATGAAGCCTGTCAGTAATGTTAAATATGACTGGCCACAAAAGCAGTTGACCTTTGTGTGTTAAATCATGCTTCCCAATTTCAAGTCCAAAGATTACCACAATGACTGTGACTTAGGCCTGCAACTAATTTAAACTATCTTTTTAAAAATGTGACTTTTAGTCCTTTTGTTCTTAAAGATAATATTACCAATTCAATGTTTCTCCTGCCTCTGCAGAGACAGTCAATGCTTCCACCTTGCCCAAGAAGAGGAAACTGGAACAGTTTTATCCCACTGTGTTAGCAACATTCAGATGCACACTGGTCACAATGCATCAGATTAGTATTGCTATTGTAGCATAAGTACTAAAAGCAATAAAAGTAGTCCAGAAAAACATCATAACTTACAGAGAGACACCATGGTGGAAATGCAAAATAGGGCAAGATCGAATCAGGGCAGTTTCCCAACACATACAAATGTTTTTCACTGGACAAGTGAGGAGAAGGCTCCTCCTCAGGGTACTGGTCACAACTTGGCTAACAAAGTTCTCTGGCAGGTGCACAGAAACAGCTGTGGCAAGTTAGCTTCAGAAAAGTTAACACAACTACAAGAAACTTCAACTTCCAAGCATATTCTTCATGCAAATCTAAAAATGGAATAAAAATGGAATAACCATTAAGGTTAAGTTCTTACACCACCAATATCACCCTTAAAACTGTTGAAACAGTGATCATGCAGACCACCAAAACACAGTGTGTGAAGGAGGGAGTAATCCTAATCCCACAGATGTTCCTTGTCAGAACTCTTTCCAGTCTCAAGAAGAGCAAAGAGGATGAGACAGGTAAGCTTCCAAAGAGTGAAACTGATCTTCAACGCCAGTAATCTCCAATAACTGGAAACTCTGTCTGAACAGTACTGCCAGGTCTTTTTGCCTGCTCAGATCTTCCCCTGGCTTACAGTTTAAGGTCTTTATGGAAATATATTAACATCAGCCACACACGGATAAACACACATGCATATAACATATAGCCAGGTACACAGCATCTCCTCCTTCCCCATCCATTTAGGTTTTTCCCATTATCCTGGCAAAATCAGAACTTTAGAAAAGCTGTTCAGTGACTGTTAAAACCCTCTGTTCTGTAACACTGATGACAGTAATTGGAGGTGGGGAGGAAGGGAAAAACGAAATTAACTTCTCATTTAAGGACATAAAGTACTGCCTGTCTGCCCCTGGTTCCACTTAAATTGAAAAATCTGCAGAGCCACACATACACTCTCTGAAAGAACAGTCATGTCTTAAGTCACAGATTCCAAAACCTCATTTTCTACAATCATTGATGACCTACAGAAAAAAATTCACCAAATTACAGAAATATGAACACCTCTATTTTAATAAAGTAATTTAATAGATAACTGAGCTTTTCCTCAAGATTTCATTTAACCAATTTAGGAACTGTCAAACAATAATTTATAAATCTTACCTGCTTTTTTCTTGAAGTTGCCTTGGGCAACAGACTGGCTGACAAAACTGATGCAAACGGCGAGCAACACAGCTCAGGAAAAGGATTTGGAATTGATGGGTTCTCCAAAATACTGTCACCTTTCTTTTTTCTCCTATTTCAACAGAATACATAATATCAAGCAATAATTGTAACAGCTGCTGTTAAAATTGCAATATCCAACCACAATATATTAACTACTGAGGCACTAATACCACGATGCTTCCTGGTTGCAGCAATTAGCTTTCTTTTTTGGAGTTATTTTATTTAATCAGTAGGCTGAATATATTAACATACAGTGCCTAACACTACTTGAAAGCAATCCAAGTATTCAGCTCTGAATATAAAGTTGTTTGAACATGCGAAAGTCTTTGCAGAGTAAGAGCAGAGATATATTTATATTGGCTTCTAAGGACATTAGTAAATATTTTGTTGTCCCTCTGTTTATGCCATTCCCTATGTACACATATTACAACAGTAGATGCATGTAACTTCTCAGCAAAACTTTCCAAGTACACCACAACAGTATTTTAAACAAATGCAAACTTTTTTTTTAACCAGAATCGAATCAAAGTGACTGACAAGAGAAAATAGTGCAAAGCAATCTATTCATTTCTGTTTTCAGTTAGTTTTGTATTGGCATCTCTGCAGCTCCATCATAAAATGAATGTCTCAGTTGTTGCTGTCTGCTGAAACAGACAGGATTGTGTCAGAAGTACCACCAGCCAGCATTTGCAGGAGTAGGGAAGGTAATCACCACTGCACTTGCCTAAGAGATCCGTTATGCACGGGTTTAAAGTATCACATTAATAATGTGGTTGTTTAGACTGCTGTGTACATTACAGTGCATGGTTTTCTCACATAAAATATTGAAGAGCACTTTGTCTACTTGATTTCATCTGAAAACCTGCACGCAAAGCACCTGATGTATTTGCATCTGCCAACATATTACAAGAGTTTTCTACATGTGTGAGTTAATGCCCCCAAGCTTCATATTTTACTTTATTACCTTCTTTATTATCATTCCAGATTTCATATTTTAATTAGCACAAAGTGGAGAAAACCAACAGAATAAGGTTACAATACAGAATGAAGATACTTCACTTATGGAAAATCCTCACCACACCGGTGAGGATTCATTTGAAGTGATATTTTCCTTTACGAGGAGCAAAAAATCCTGTAATGCAGTATTTTAAGATTTTGTAAACTTCAGTCTACCGAAACTCATCAGATGCTTCACGAAAAACCCAGCTCATATCTTCCTTTACTAAGAATAGAGACCAATGCCTTTAAGAAGAGCCTGAGAGGTAACAAACGGGGTGCACACCGCTGCCAGCGGCACTGCTCCCGGTGAAGCGGTTTTATCTCACCAACACTCTGAGAAAGACACTGCAGGGATAAAGTAGCTGCTGGCTCAGCCTGACAAGGCAGGCTCGGCACCGCCGGCTCCTTTCACCTCAGGCTGACAAACCTCAAAAATAAAAAGGGAGGTGGGGGGTGGGACACGCACGCATCCGCAGCGGCGGAAAGTGTCTGCAGGGCCGGGAAACAACTTTTGAGCTCCGGGGAAGCGCGGGCCGGTCCAGAGCCAGGCCGCCCCCTCCTGCGCCTCGCCCCCTCCCCAGGCCGCCGCACCCCGGCCCCGCCAGCCCCGCGTCCCGCCCGCAGGGCGCCGCCCGCCCCCCGACGGCAGCGGCGGCCCTCGAGGGAGCGGCGGGGCGGCGGCGCCTGCCGGGCTCCGGCCTTACCTGTCGGGGGGCGAGGGCGGCGGGTCCCGCCCGGGGGGCCGGGGCAGCGGGCGGGGGCAGCCGCGGGGGCCGCCGCCAGCGGGCTCCGCCGCCAGCCCTGCGCCGGGCGCACCGGGCAGCGGGGCGGCCATCGGCGGCGGCGACGTCCTGGCGGGGCGGCACGGCGGCGAGCGGCCCCGGCGCTGCCGGGCGGAGGCTGCTCTCGCTCCCGCTGCGGAGGAGGGGGAGGCGACGGGGAGCGGGGGGAAGCGCCGCCCGGGCGGCACCGAGCGCCTTCCCCGGCACACGTGCGAGGGCGGCGGCGGCGGCGGGGGCGGGCGGCCGCCGGCTCCGCGCTGCGACGGGGAGGCAGCGCGGGGCGGGCGGGGGCCGAGCGGGGCCCTTGGGCTGCTCCGCCAGGCCGGGCGGCGGAGCGGGGCGGGCCCGGCAGGTGCGCGGGCCCGGGACCCGAGGCCGCGGCGTGACCCGGCGGGGCCGGGGGCGGTGGGGCCCCGCCGGGCGGGCCCGGCCCCGGGCACCGCTCGCCCTGAGCCGCTGCGCCTTCGGCCGAGGGGGGCAGCGCGGCCCCGGCATGGCCCGGGACCTCCTGCCCCGCGCCGGGCAGCGGCTCCAACCGCGCTCCGCCGGACCGGCCTGACACGCGACTCAGCGCCTGGCAAATCATTAACTGAACTGACACATCCCTCTGGGCAGCGGGGATTTATGGACGTGCCTTGGAGAAATAGGGAATGACCGAGGCCGGGGAGCAGACCCGTCACCTTGTGCCGGAAAAGCGGCTCGTGAGGAGGCTGGGCTCCCGGCTGGGCCCAGCACCCACATCCAGCCACAGCCTGGGGCACAGTGGATTGTGAAAAGGTTTTCCCTCATGCCCAGGGCTGCTCCACAGCAGCTTGATCCCGCTCTGCTTTATGTACATAAATTCCTCTGTGGCAATTCCATGGTCGTCCTTATCAATGTTTGTCCGATTTCAAAATAAAAAATCCCCCTTGCTGTGTGAAGAACAGTTTGATGGCACCGAGCAGAGTGGGCAGTCGTGTTTAGGTCAATCCGATAGTCAAAAACTGAAAGCCCCTGGTGAAGACAGCACCACGCAGAAACCCTCTGACTGTCCTTGGCATGGTCAGGGGCAGTAACTGAGATGTGAGACTGGTAAAAATGTAGAATATTTTGAGGCAAATCCTTTGCTGTCTTCCTGAATCCACTGAAAAAATCATCACACACAAGCCAAGATTTCAGTTCTGGGGAAAGATTTTTGTGTCATAGAAGCAATACTTGCAGTTTTCATTTTGGCTGAGTCACAGATGATTTTGCAGGACATTCATTTTCAATTAAATGAAGGATTCCTTGTCCTCTGAACAGCTCATTCTGTTACACTTACAGCAGAAGTGGAAGTCTGAGTTGATTAACAGTTCTTATATACAAAGTCTGGCAAATATATCAGGAATTTTATAGTGTCAGATAATTGACTGGATTTGCTTGTTTCTTGTGAGCAGCTATCCTTTTAAAAACTGCAGAGACAAGGCCACTGGGTTTTTTTTCCTGGTTGATTCACAGGCATAACTGTGACATGTTAAACCTCATTGTCTTCAGAAGAATAGAAGGCAGGACAAATGTTATAGGTGCTCTAGGTAGAAGACTGAGACTGGAAAGAGATAAAAACCTGCAAGTGGCAATTGTATGCTGATATTCATCAGCATTTAAAAAGTTCAGCCACAAAAAGAAAATATATTTTGATTTTTCACCTATTCTGTGCAATGTGTTACAGAACTGCAACCTGACATACATGGTATGTTTTTGTGTCTTTGGCTTAGTCATGTAATTGTTTTAAAATGCCAGGCAAATAAAAACCACAATTAGAATGAATAACAGCAAATAAATACTTTATTTTTTAAAATAACTTTGGTGGTAATCTAATTAGTTATGACAGCAGCAATGCCACTTCTAGAAAAAATCAATAAAAATGTCACGCTATTATAATTTCACTTGCATGTTGTAAGAAACAAATTTACTGAAATTGTTTTTTTACATATCTCATAGTCTGTCCTGATGCTTGCTGTCAATGCTTTCTCTGGGAACAGCATTGCATGAGGGAAATGCAGTCAGTGGAACGCTGAGGCACAGGAGAACCTATGTGACTGTTCCAGTGTAGGCATTGCAAATGTTGCATGCATGAGAATGTGAAACTGAAGGTTCTCCAGCCTTACTGTCTCTCTTTGCAAACAACTGTAAGAATACAAATGGTTTCATGAGCTGGGCTAAAGATATCTGAGAGCATTTGACCTAGAATCTGTTCAAGTGTAACCTTTTTTAACTCCTTCTTTGAACAAGTACAAACTCAGTAATCTCTGAACAGTTAATAGAGTTGATATTAAAAGACTGGCAGATTTCTGCTGAGACCCAACACCAAAACATTTGTTGAGCTGTGTGACTTGGTTTCCTTTTCATCATAAATACACTTAAGCTGCCTAGTGTGTTTTTTTGATAATTGCCATGCTTGTGCAGCACAGTTGTTCTTGTAAGATTTACCATTTCCTAGTGTCCTGGGTTGGCTATATGATGCTGGTATCCCCAGTTCTCTGCTCTGTTTATGTTGGACAATAAGTTTTGCACCTTTAAGACTGGTTCTGAGAGCAAAGGGGGGAGAGAAGACTAAACTAAATTCCTGTGTATTCTTCAATACTCAACTCAGTAGGCTTATTCCCTGTCTTTTAATTTTTACCTTTCTTAGTCATAATCACATCCAGGTGTTTATCAAGTAAAATTAAAATATATATTGAGAAAAATTGCAACAGATTCAAGCTATTCAGTATGCACCCCACTTCCAGAAAATCAAGCTCTCCAGTTCTCAAAAGCCTGTATGCTATTTAGAATCACAACACTTGATTAATGTGACAAAATTATGCCTTTAATTAGAGTAAACTCAATTATTACTGACAAAGTGGAGGTTCAAAAAATCCAAACTACCTCTGATTATCTTCGAAAACTGTAGAAGATTTTTGTAGGGTTTTTTTTGTCCCCTTCCACACGTCCTCCCTTGCTTTTATCAAATTACTCACAATATATGTATAATAGTTTTATCACATAAATCTTCACTGCGCTAAGAGAGCCAATAGCCTACCTTTACACCATCATTTGTCGTAGCTGCAGTAGTAGAGAAATGAATTATTTCTATTTAAGTACTAGATTGAAGCCACAGAAATAGCTCCTTTTTCCCATGCAAGGCTACAACCAGGTATGTCTTGTCTCCTCATACATTTTCTCCAAAAGCCTCCCAAAATAAATTGCCTCAGCAGTAATGCTGAGGATCACCCTAAGAACACAAAGGATCACCCTAAGAAAAAAGTAATTTGTTCAGTAAAAAGGCATGTGCCAATTTATGTGAATTTATTATCTCAATGGACTTAAAATGTGTTGAACAAATGAACCTCATACAATGAGCTGTGCATTCTAGCTCCTTCTTGAGCATTTCAAAAGCCCATTTATAACTTTGAAAATGGGCTCAAGTACTTCATGAGAGCCAAATTTATCCAGTGACCACAAGTGGAGATACCACTAGCTAACTTCCTGGCAGTAGTGCATAAGTCTTTGAAAATTATCTGTGGTTGAATGTTTTGTGAGGAGTCTTCCCTATTATTAGAGCTTGAATTGAATGTTAAGTTTACAGTTATTGTTAAAATGTGTATCTTTTATTGCAGGTAAGGAAAAGGTTCCAAGGCATTAAATCACCAGTACCACCAGTCTCAGTCATTTCCCCACGCTGCTTTTCAACCTTATCTGAAACTCAGTGTACACAAACCACAGCAGAGTAAAAATCCAGTGTTTCCCCTGACTACATTCCCTTTCTCTGCACTTACTGTCAAGAAGCAGATTTGCACTTGTTTTCTGTTGTTTGGTTTTGGACTTTCTTTATCAATTGAAAAGCATGATTACTTTAGCATACTTTTGTAACAAACTTGAGTAGAGAGATGGATTTTATTGCCAGCTTTGACAACAGTGTTTGCAATTTCCATAGCAAGTTCTGTGATTCCCTGTGATAGCTCTGTCAGAACATCCCCATGATGGAATTTTGCCTTGAACTGTAACACAAGATTGAAATGAAATCCTGTGCAGGGTTTTTTAGAATAAGAATGATACCCTTCAGATCTATCAAATTAAATCAAATCAAGAGCTTTTGATATGTGAAATGTTGTTGTAGCCAAGAGCAGATAATGAGGTTCAGGGCAGGGCTGACTGAGTGGCATGTAGTGCTTGTGAGCTGCAGGTCAGACATGTGACACGCTGGCTCCTGCTCCCTCGCACTGGGGCTGCATGAAATCAGTCACACAGAAGGTCTGTAATAAACAATGCATTAGGTGATGCAATCTGCACTGGCCAACCTTGAACTGAGGCCTGAAGTTCCTTCCTAGAGAGGACTGTAATAGCACAGGGTGAGTGTTGCATACATGGGGGTTACCGTGGCTGCATCTGCGTCTGATGGTGGTTGGAGGCAGTGCGCTCCCTCCCAGAAATAGCTGCAGCAGCAGCAGTGCATTTATTGTGTGCTTCATCTGTCCACAACTACCCCCATACCACAACAGCCACTGCACTAGATGTACTCTTCTGGAAGGGAATTGACAAGTGGACGACTTTAAACATCACATAAATTATTAACCATTTAGATAAATTAAACAGGTGATGTTTCACAACAGCAGAGTGCTGCTGATACTTTTTACAGCCCTATTTCTGCAACTCCACCTTACACAAAAAATGTAATTTCTGACCTCACATGCCTTCAGAGTACTGCACAAAAACATGTAATTATTATGGAAGGAAAGGTTGCAGGCAACTGTGCTATCTAGTATTCCATGTGTTTATGCAGCACATAGAAGTTTAGTTTCCGTAATGTGAGTTGTTGGGAAATCAGATTCGAGATCCTTTAACACTAGTCATTTTGTTGAGTGGGAAACAAAATACAAGCATTAAAAAAAAAAAAAAAACCACTAACCAAAACGACAAAAAACCCCAACTCCCCAAACCAACCATAAAAAAGATAAAGACAAGAAACGTAGAGCTAAAATGACTTTTAATAAACAGCCACGCCACTCATAAGTCTCAGCCATTTCTGAGCTGCTGCCAAGGACACTGAAACAGT